CAGTCTGACGTCGATACCGGGTAAATTGGTGGAAACCATTATTAAGGAAAGAATTAGTAGGCACATAGATGAACAAAACCTATTGAGGCAGACTCAACATGGGTTCTGTAAGGGAAGATCTTGTCTCACTAACCTGTTAATGTTCTTTGAGGGGGTGAACAAACATGTGGACAAGGGGGATCCAATAGATATTGTTTACCTTGACTTCCAGAAAGCTTTTGATAAAGTTCCTCATCAAAGGCTCCTAAGCAAGCTCAAAAATCATGGGATAAAAGGACAAGTCCTTTTATGGATCAAAAACTGGCTAATTAATAGAAAACAGAGAGTGAGTATAAATGGGCAGTTCTCCCAGTGGAGGGGTGTAAGCAGTGGGGTACCACAGGGATCAGTACTTGGTCCACTGCTTTTTAACTTGTTCATTAATGATTTGGAGTTGGGAGTAAGCAGTGAAGTGGCTAAATTTGCGGATGATACGAAGTTGTTCAGGGTGGTGAAAACCAGTGAGGATTGTGAGGCACTCCAAAGGGATCTGTCAAAGATGGGCGAGTGGGCGTCAACATGGCAAATGGGGTTCAATGTGGCCAAGTGCAAGGTGATGCACATTGGAGCCAAAAATCCTAACTATAAATACACGTTGATGGGGTCTGAACTGGCAGAGACAGATCAAGAGAGAGATCTTGGAGTTGTAGTAGATAACTCACTGAAAATGTCGAGACAGTGTGTGACTGCAATAAAGAAGGCCAATGCTATGCTGGGGATTATTAGGAAGGGTATTGTAAACAGATCAGCCAATATCATAATGCCGCTATATAAATCAATGGTGCGACCTCATCTGGAATACTGTGTGCAATTCTGGTCACCACACCTTAAAAAGGATATTATAGCTTTGGAAAAAGTGCAGAAAAGAGCAACTCGAATGATAAAAGGGTTGGAACACTTTCCCTATGAGGAACGGTTAAGGCGCTTAGGGCTCTTTAGCTTGGAGAAACGACGACTGAGGGGTGACATGATTGAGGTTTATAAGATTATGCATGGGAAAGAGCAGGTAGAGAAAGAGGTACTTTTCTCCCTTTCTCACAATACAAGAACCCGTGGGCACTCCATGAAATTGCTGAGCGGTCGGGTTAGAACGGATAAAAGGAAGTACTTCTTCACCCAAAGAGTGATTAACACTTGGAATTCACTGCCACAGGAAGTGGTGGCAGCTACAAGCATGGACGGCTTCAAAAGGGAATTAGATAAGCATATGGAGCAGAGGTCCATCAGTGGCTATTAGCCACAAGGTATAGATAGGGACTCTGGGGCAAGTGATGCTCTGTCATCTTGGTGCTTGGGGGGGGTCAACAGTGGGAGGGCTTCTAATGTCCTGGCCCCACTGGTGGACCTCCTGATGGCACTGGTATTTCTGGCCACTGTGTGATACAGAGTGTTGGACTGGATGGGCCTTTGGCCTGATCCAACATTGGCATCTCTTATGTTCTTATGTTTCCAGCGCTTCTCGCCGTGGTCCCTCCTGGCCAGCCTCCGTCCCGCTGCACCTCCGTCTCGGCTCTCGACCGTCTCAGGGATGACTCTGTCTCGCTGGCCCCACACCCGAGGGATGACTCCTTTTCTCTCCGCCATCCCCGGTTCTCCCATGGCCCGCGTCCCCGAGGTGTCTGCCTGTAAGTCGTGGGGTTGCGGTGGTTCTAGAGGCTCCTCCGCTGTCAGGTCTTGGCCGCTTCCTGTCCTCGCGGCCCAGCCCTACTTGAGTTGGCTCATCTGCGGGGCTGTGGTCGGCATCTGCCGTGGGGGGTTCAAAGGGGGGCGCCTCTGCGTCTGTGGCCATCTCTCGGCTGCCTCCTGACCCACTACATTTAAAAACCAGTGGGAGAACATTTTAACCTTCCAGGACATTCAGTTGCTGACCTAAGAGTAGCAGTTCTCTTATAAAGGAATTTCAAAGGGCGATTAGAAAGAGAGACTGCAACTGATAATGAAGCACAAGACAATGCATCATCCTGAACTGCGATCTGGGTTTCCTGTCTCATTACCAATGCTGATTTCTCCATGCCTACTACCCCTCTGCATATCACACCTAATCCAATCAAGTCTGCTATTGTCATTTGGCATCTGAAATCACTCCACTTGTCAAGATATAAGGACAGATCAACTCACATTCTAGTTGTATCTGAAGAAGTGAACAGTGACTCATAAAAGCTCATGCTCTGCCACAAATTGTGTTAGTCTTGAAGGTGCTACTGGACTCTTGATCTTTTCTACTGCTACAGACTGACTAACACATCTACACATCTTGATCTATGTCATATAGTGTTCCTATTGCATTGCTGAATTTTGTAATCCACCCCAACTCTTAATGAGAAAGGCATACTATACATAAAATTAATAAATAAATCTTGAATTCTAGTTTAAAAAATTTACACAGCACAGAGTGTGAAGATAAAGTTGCTATTCTTCACTCTAATTTCCTAAAGAGAGCTGGGACCATGAAGAAAGTGGAATGAGGGACTGAAGGAAAAGAGTTCAATTAAATCAAAAAAGTTCATGAAGTACTTATCCACATGAGAGAAAATAAGCAAAAATATAGCTGAATAATTTACATAGAGGAAAGATAATTACATTGGATGAAAACAAACCAAAATGATGTTACCAACTGGTCGTTTAAAGGAATGGTTGTTGATTATGTAGGAGTAATTTTACTGAATAATGATTTAACTGTCTACTATTAATCTCAAGCATGTGCAGTATAATACTTCTGGAAAAAATATTACTATCAGTGGAAAGATTTATAAATAAACTAATACCAAGATCATCAATACACTTACTGAGCACTACTGTTGACTTTAATTATACTTTCTTTCAATGAACTTCAGTTTAATGGTTTTACAGCTCAATCCTAAACATGCTTAATTTAACTTCAATTACTTTCTGAGTTCAGTGACACTTGTCTCCTAGCAAATATGCTTGGGACTGCAGCCATAATCCTATTAGCCACTGCTCTGACAGTGGCTATTTATTTATTTATTTCATGGATCTTTGAATTTCCATCCTACTTTCTCCACCAAAGACACCAGAGGAGGCTTAGACCACTAAAACAATCTAAACAAACACCAGTAACATGCAACCACAATATCTATTTGTAAACTGACTGGCTCCTGCATATATGATGAAAGCTGCCCACTGTGATCATCCAGACAAAGCAGAGTCTGCATCTACTTGGAAGCCTGGGCATGGGGAAATATAACTTTGGAATTAAGCTTCAGAAAAAAACCTTTTAAAAAAGGACAGGGAACTGAATATTTTCCCCAAAAGGCAGAATGTAGAGTACAGCTCAATACCAGTTAAAAGGAGGAAAGGGGATCAGGGAGAATTCAGAATGCTCAGATCCCTAAAAGCATAAATAATTCTGGAGCATAGGGCTGCAAACCTCCTGGGAGGTCTCCTGAAATGACAACTGATCTCCAGACTTCAGAGATCAGTCCCCCCCCCCCCCGCACCCCCCGGAAAAAACACTACTTTGAAGGATGGACTCCATGGCATTATACCCTACTGAGTTCCCTCCCCTCCCCAAACTCTGGCCTCCCCAGACACCACCCCCAAACCTCCAGGAATTTCTCCACCCATATTTGACAACCCTATAGTGGAGCAGAAGATGGGGGGGGGAATTTCCTAATTATTCTCCTCTCTTGCAATTCCTTGCTAAATCTAATAGTAAAGTGGATGGCTCCTGTTATCATAAAAGCAACAAAACCAGACCATCCTTAAAGGACAAGACAGACTCTGGCTATTCAGAAAAAAATGATATTGTGAATTAATACTAACCCACCCCACCTCACAAGGGGCAGAGTGTTGAGAGCAGCTGTCAGTTAAAGGAGAGGCAGAAGTAATCCAACTGTAGAAACCCTAGAAAGCCTGCAGAGAGGAATACTGAGATGAGGATTTCCAATTTATTTCCCCTTTTGCTATTGCAGGAGGACCTCAGCTTCCTGTATCTAATAAAGTGAATGGCCCACATTGATTCCAAAAACAGTCGAACCAGGCCATGAAAGCAGTAGGGATTTGTACATACTTTGAGGCATATTTAAAACGGCTGAATGTTATTTAAAAAGGTGGGAGGGGGTTAAGGGTCGTTGAAAATGGGGTTTTGTAGCTGAACACTAAACTGAGTCTCTGAAGTTCAGTGCAAAAACCTGTCTTTTCAAGACAAGAGACAACTCTTCCTTTGACCATGCACAGAGGGCGGTTTCTTCAGTGCTGCGCGACCACTGCTAGCTCCACATAAGATGTGGATTTGTAGGGCAGGCTTTCCACCCCTGCGAGGTCGTGGCGATCATCTCGGGTCGGTACAGACTAGACCATCCTTTTAAGCGTCCGTCAGGCGGACCCCGAAGTATCTGACCGCGCGACACAAACCACTAGGCAACACATCCCCCCCGAATCTTGCGTCCCACACAACGGGCGACAGAAGAGCCGCTCTCTGCTTCACGCCACTCTTCCCCAGCAGCAAGGGGAAAATGAATGTCCTCCCCCCCCCCGACCAACCCCCCCCCCCCACGGAGGGAAGTGCAGTTTTTATATGAATAGAAAACGCAGAAGCATCCGAAGGGGGAAGGCAGGGGCTGGTGGCGACGGCGGTAAGCGTGAGGGAAAGCCGTAACTTTGGAGTTGAGGCAGTGGCAAGTTGTGGTGGCTTTGCGGGGAGATGTATGGCTGCGAGAGAGAGAGAGAGAGAGACACGCCACAAGAGGGGGCCGTCCGTTGTGCGGGCTTCGCACCGAGCCCCAACTTGCGGCCGCTTCCCACAGTCCAGTACGCGCGTGTGCCTGACGAAGCAGCTCGGAGCCTCTCACACGCGCGCTTTTCTCCAACCGCCGGTTGGGTTTGACGCCCCCGCCTTTCTCACTCCTCCCCCCTCCCCGCCACCCCCCATTCTCCTTTAGTGCGCGCGCGCCTGCCTGCCTGCCCGCGCGCGTGTGTGTCTAGTGCGGCGCGTGGGGCACCTGCTTGTCTGGCTGCTGTTTGCTGCCGCCGCCGCCGCCGCTGCCGCCAGCGCCACGCAGGGCTGCCGAGGCTAAGACTGCTTCCTGCTCTCTGCCGGCTCCAGTCTCTTCCTTGCCGCTGCCGCTGCTGCCGCCGCCACTATTGCTGTTCTGAGCGAGTTGGGTTCCTCCGGTGGGGCTTACCCCTTCCCCGCCTGCTCCTTCCCCCCTGCCTGCGAGTCAGCCTGGCTCCGAATCACGTGGTAATTGCCTGAGGCAGAGACTAAAGAGGAAAAAAAAAAGCGCCTCATTCCTTCTTCCACCGCCATACTGTATTTTATAGTAACTCGCATTTTTATTCCTTCCTTTTACTCCCGCTCGGTGAGTACCTTTCCGCTGACATTCTTGTCCTCCTTTTTTTGTCCTTTTTTTTCTTCCTTTTTTGTTTTTGCTGCTTTTTTTATTTTTTCACCTCTTTGTTTTCATGGATTTGATCCTTTTTCTGATGACAAGTTTTTTTCTTAGCATGCGATGGTTTACTAAACTGAGAAAAAGGTGTTGCTGGAACTGGAAGTCACTGGGAATCGAAAGAGGAAAAAAAGAGGGAGAGAGAGAGAAATAGACTTGCCAGTCCAGTAATAACGTCAGTGCGTTTAAACTATTCCTATTTATACATATGCAACTGGTTTTGTTGTGACAAAAATGTTAATTATTATGCATACATTTTTTAAAGAAACCAAACAGATAAGATATGGGCATGTAGGTTAACTCTGTTTTGCAGAGATTTTTTATGATGTTGTTTTGCTTTTTGTTTTTTTGTATATATATGAAATTCCAAAATGCATTTTACACCAATGTTTACAAAGAGTTTGTGTTCTTGCAATTTTGGTGCAGGTCACTGAGCAAGATACTAATTTTGTTTAATGCTTTTTTGGTTTTGTTTCCTTTTTGGACGCCCGGTGCAATCAGCAGCTTTTCTTCTTTTTCTGTTTTTCATGCCCAATTATAATGTGAAACTTTTCTTGCAGCTTGGTACTGTTGATCATTTTTAAATTCCCCCCTCCAAATTATATTGCAAAAAAAGCAAAGATAGTTTCTTTGCAGCATTTCACTTTTTTATTCTTTTACCGAGATAATTTTACAATGAGTGTCATAATGCTGATAGATATACACATATATACAAATAAGTACATTTTCAAATGATGGCAGTGGAAGGTTTTCCTGGAGAATGAAGTGCGGTTTGGTTTCCTTGTCAACGGAAGATGAAGTGAACAACTGAACATCTCCCCAGTGCAGGTACTTCAGCTCCTTGTAGGCGTTTCCACTCTTTGTAATTGCATTATGAGAATCACCCCCCCCCGGATCTCTTGTGCTTCAGATGCAGAGATGTAAGCAATGGGATGAAGACAAAGCTAGACATTCTTTTGCTATTCGGATTGATTAAAAAAACAGTGTAATAATTGTGTGCAGGTCAGTGAAGCTGCATGATTGGGGCACATAAAAGGAGCTTACCTGGACGGAACACATGAGATGCCTCTCATGGTTAGGGACTTTGTGATGGGGGTTAAGCAACTGATAATGCCTGAACTGGATTGTTGTGAGTAAGAAAGAAAGCTGTTGGGGTTTTGTTATTGCCCACTAGGTGTCTGAGACAGACTCGGCAGCAGCATCCCTTTCTTACCTTACGAGCTTGAAACATTTTTCCAACTACACACACACTGTGTTTCCACCCTACCTTCCTAACCTTTTATCCTTCGTCCCAACTTTTTCTCCGGTTTTAGGAAAGTATAAAGCATTTGAATGCTTTTACCCTTTCAGCTTCAGATCCTAAGGTGTTTACTTGTCTGCAAATACTTCCTTTTTGTTCTCATGTGAGTGTAATGGTTATCAGTGTTATCAGTGACCATGTCTAGGTCATGACTGGGAAAGAAATGTGTTGCACGTATTGTTTTTAACTGCAGGGTAGAGATTGGACAGACTGATGGAAAAGGGCAGGAATAATTCTTAATGTGCATAGGAAAAATTCACTGTTTTCTTGGTTTTGTTCAATATTTTTCAGCACCCCCCCCAATGTGTAATCAGAGTTGAAGCACCCGAGGTTGCATGTTTGTTTTTGTATATGTTTAATTCTGTGAGACTGTAGTCTTCAGGAAATTTGCAGTTTGTCATATTCAGCCACCAGAAGCATGCAGTGGTACACTTTCATGTTTTTAAACAAATGCGAAATTGATAATCTCACTTAACATACAGAGTTAGAAGGGAGCTGTTTCAGTCATCTATTTACATTCTGCAACTTGAAACTTTGTAGATGCGTATGGGAAGCTGAAAAAGTTGATTTATAAAGGAATAATAATAGTGTTGTGTATATGGAGAAACAGAAGCAAAATAAGAGTAATGTTGTGCCAAAAAATTAGGCATAGTAGTTTCTACATAGGTAAAGGTAAAGGTTCCCTTGCTCGAAAGCCAGTCGAATCCGACTCTAGGGTTGCGGTGCTCATCTCCGTTTCAAAGTCATCTATTTACATTCTGCAACTTGAAACACTTTGCGGATGCGTATGGGAAGCTGAAAAAATTGATTTATAAAGGAATAATAATAGTGGTGTGTATATGGAGAAACAAGCAAAATAAGAGTAATGTTGTGCCAAAAAAATAGGCATAGTTAGTTTCTACAGAAATATCCACTAATTTACAGAGATTTCAGTTCTCCTGAAACTGGGTGAAGCAGGACTGCCCTATACAAAAACAGAAACTATGGAATCTTGGGTTACAACCTCAAATGTCTTTGTAGAATCAAGTTTCATTAATTTGGATGGAACTTTAGTTTCAAGTAAATGTGTTTAAAGTTGCAGTCGTAAACAGGTAATTACGTGGGGCAAGTCTCACTCATTAGAATTTACTTCTGAGTAAGCATGCAAAGGATTAGGCCATTTGATTACTGTATCAATATCCCAATGACTATATCATAGTTTTTAGTAAAGAATTTACTTCTGAGTAAGCATGCAAAGAATTAGGCCATTTTATTACTGTATCAATATATCATAAAACTATATCATAGTACAGGAAGGATTAGGAATTACATTTAAGGTTTAAACACATTTACTTGTAAACTAGCCCCACCAGCATATATTCGGGATTCCAACCTTTGGTGGGAAAGATAGGTTGGAGAGCAGTGGTGTGTTTGAAACACTCACTGTCTGTGTGGGGCAGTCACATTTGTAAAACATTATTGGGGGGGGGGAAGGCCTTAGAAACATTTGCATTTATTCAGCATTACTACTAAAATGCTTTCAGTCTTATTATTTTTAAGTGCCTTACCAAACAGCTGACTTGTTCCCCTTTTCCATAGGATAGCATGGATAGTTTTAAAGAACAGCACTGTGTTTGCCATGTCTTAGTGCTCTTTGGTATTAAATTGATTGTAAAAAGTATCTGATTCATGTGGGAACAAATAAAGCTTTGTGTCAAATATACCTGTTGGGAGGAAAAATTGCAAATTATGGCTACTTTCTTAAAAGGTTCTTCAGTGTACTTATACTAATGGAGTTCCATTTCTTCAAGGTAAGAAGCTATTGAAGCCCTCTCCAATATTCTAAAATTAATATTCTAAAATGTTCTAAAGCGAATACATTTTGTGTTTTCTAAATGTATCTTGAACGTTGTTGAATTGTGGAGATGTTCAAATAGATGGGCATAAGCAAAGTATATTGAAGTACATGGAAGATGGAGGAAAAGCCTGCCCTTAACTGTGATTTGTTTCAGTATGGTTTACTCTGAAAACTCAAGTCTGATGCCATGCAGAGTTGAGCATGCCTACCAGTGTTGTATAGGGCAGGCGTGCAGATTTGTTAGTGTTGCACATGCAGAGTTGAGCATGCCTACCAGTGTATAGGGCAGGCATGCAGATTTGTTAGTGTTGTAGCATTAATGATGATGTAGGAGTCTTTTTGTTTGTGTTTTTGTTGTCCATGTCTTGCTGAATTTAGTTTTCCTTAACTAATTGACTGGAAGTTTGGAGATCTGGAGATATCAGTCCTATGAATAATATTAGTAATCCACTGATTTTTCTAGTATCTGACAGTGACATATTTGCAAATTATAAATTAGGAATATTTTGCAGTAAATGCATATTGAATTGCGTAGTCTTGATCATGTCTGAATGCGACAAATTAACTGCACGATAACTTAAATATCTTACTGATTTTTACAAAGATTTGAAACTGATGTGTTTTTGAGAATTCGAACTTCAATGCTAACTGGAAAGGCATCTGCTCAGTTAAGGGTGAATCTCAACAAGGTGCTGAGTGTTCTCCATTTAGTAGGAGTATTGTGTCTGACCTATTGATATGGATTAGAATACCCTGGAAAATATCCCTTGATGCCTCTACATTGTGTGTTGTTTGTTTATACTTGCAGCTTGCTGTTTGAATTAATGTAACTATTACTGCTGTCCTAAGCGTACTTATCTGGCAGTAAGCCATATTGAACTTGGTGGGACATTTCCAAGAGAACCTATTTAGGATTGGGCTCTATGCTAATAGTGTGCACTGAATTTATTAGAATGATATATCTTGTCTTCAAAGCCTGATTCAGTGCATATTTACTGAGAAGTAAGCTCCATTACATTCTGTGATGCTTATTCTAGTAGAGGAGGTGGAGGAGTTGTGCCAGTATAGCTGCATCAGCATTTTATAATAGTACTGATATAAGGGACTTTGAGTTTTAACAACAAATTAAAAATAAGAACAGGTTCAGACTTGCTGGTTGTATTTGCGTTAGAACCCTCCAGACTGATATCACCAAAGGAAAGGAGATTGTTGTGATTTTCTGTCTCCGTCAGTAGTAAAACATACAGTCAGTTAATTTAAATTTAGTTTTTCCTGTTGAGTTTTCAGTTGTCCTCTTTATTTATTTTTCACTTTGATTTTGTTTTGTCTTTGGCAACAGCATGACAAGCTATGGTCAGAATCCCCTCATGGCGCCAGTCTGCTTCTGGCAATAAAAGGGCCCAAGTTCCTGAACTTTCCTTCACTCTTGTTATTACGCAATAAAAGGGCCCAAGTTCCTGAACTTGACTGAACACCCCTTTCCTTCACTCTTGTTATTGCCATAGCTGAGTGCCAGTGTGAAGGGTTTCTGGTTTTCAGCCCAGTAGATAATGGGAGTACAGCATTGGGGAGATACAAGGACATGGTGAAGTGATTGCAGACTATTGTTGTCGTTGTCATCATTTCAGT